CAATGACATGGGTTTTTCTTATTTCACCTTTAGAAAGTTATGAATATTCAGTATATGGCAATAAAATAAATTTATACAGTACAGAAAAGATAGGAAACAAGACATGAAAGTTGCCTTTGGAATCCCAGTACCACAGAGACCAGACTGTGCTTCTGATTATTCTTGAGGGAAATATTCACTCTGTAGAATGTGCTCATGTTTGTTTCTTGATGATTTTTTATTAAATTTGATGAATTTGTAGATTTGTGTCTCCTTGTCCTGAAAAAACAATTTTTCTCACATCACATCCATTCCCTGTTCCCTCCTGATTTTGGTTAGAATTCTAACTCTAACTTGAAATAATATATTTTGATTTTATTTGAAATGTAACATGCTATTTTGTGAGTCATCAACTTTACTTAATCTTTATCAGCCATTCCCTCACTCTTTCATCTATGTAATTTGAGGAACATTCATGCACTTTTCTTCTCTTACTCCCATACTTCACCTCACCCTCCATCAACCATACAATTATTGTTATGATTTAATATTTTATTTTTTTCAATGGCCGTGCTTATCTTCTGTGCTTTGATTAGAAATTGATTCCAAATAGTGACAATAACTAGCATTGACAATTTCAAGATTGTATAAGTATTGATCGTTGCATATCAAAATACTGGAAGGTTAGACTTGAGAAGCATTGTCATAAACTTCTGCCTCTAAAAGGAGGCATTCAGACATCAAGATTGAGGGCTGAATGTGTCTCTCAGTGGTCAGGCACTTGGGTGTGATCCTCAGCACCAAAAAAAAAAAAAAAAAAAAGCAAACATCAAGATCAAGTGGGTTTTTCTGTGCTTTATCCTATCAGTTGTTCTAAATCAGGCCATAACTTGAATGGCTTCATATTTAGATCATGGCTCCTTGATGCTCAGTATATGCAGGATGAACCCAGGTTTTCTTTCCTACACATCCAAATAAAACAAAAGAATTCTCAAAATTAATAGAAGAAACTTAAAATCCCCAATTAGAAAAAGAAACAAATACTGTATATTCAGTCATTTTTTTTGTCTCTAAGAACAGTATAATTAAAACAGTTTCTAACTTTAGCCTTTTCTGTGTCTACTTTCTTTTCTGAAAATCATAAATAATGTTCCCATTATACCATAAAAAGCAGTTTGAGTGAAATGCTATTTCCATGTGATGGAGTTTCCAGGATCCCATTATTGAGCCTTCTGGACAAATACAGCAAGAGAGCTGCTTTCAGGATGATATGTCTCAAGTACAGGGCACTTAAAATTTGTCCTTTGTTTACTGATCCATGAATGGAGTTGGAAAATCTCAGATATGACAGAACTTTCCAAATTCCTTTGTGTGGTGTTCTTGTTGGTGCTTTGTCCATAAATTATTCAACGCTCCTTCCTTCAAGAGGTGCAGCTTAACTCCCTCTACCCTCAGTCTGGCCTGGACATTAGTGACTTGCTTCCAGTGAATAAGAACATGGCAGGAGTGACAGGGTGTGACTTCTGAGACCAGGTAAAAAAGCATTGTGGTTTCTCCTCACACTCTGTGTTATGTTAAAATAGAAACAAAATATGTATTTCTTACTATTACTCCCATGTTTTCAATTGATTGATTGATTGACTGAGATAGGGTTTCATTATGTAGTTCAAGCTGGCTTTGAACTCACTATATACCAAGACTGGCCTTGAACTCATGATGATCCTCCTGCCTCAGCCTCCATAAAGCAAGGATTATAGGTCTGCACTGTGATGTCTGGCCTTATTTTTATTTTTGATTGACACATGATAAATGTACATTTTTAATGGGTACAATGTGATATTTCAGTTCATTGATACATTGAACAATGATCAAGTCAGCATAATTAGCATATCCAACACTAAACTTTTATTTCTATGTGGTAACAACATTCAAACTCTTCTATTCTAGCCATTTTGAAATATACAATACATCATTATTAACTGCATCCACTCTACTATACAAAGAACCTTACAACTTACTCTTCCTATCTAATTATGTCATTGTATCAATCAACTAACCTTTCCCTACACTCCCAATTGCACTCCTCTACCCTACCTCTGGTTTCAACTTCTACTTTCAACTTTGTTAGATTCCACATATGTCATTGTTCCCACTTTTAATTTTTTGGCAAGGATATACATACACACACACACACACACATACACACACACACACACCCCTACACACCTACCTCTACTGGTTATTTCCCTACAGTTTAGAGGTAAAATATATAACTTTATGGGAAAAACCCTACCCTGACCTATTTACCACAAGTCTTTTTTTTTTTCTTATGCCTGCCTGATGTCCCAAGTCCAAGCCATTTGCTATGGCTTGTGTCTAGGTGTACCCCCAAATCTCATGCAGTCATAGGTGGGGCTTTTTTGAGGTGGGTGGATCTAGGAAAGCTGCTGGGATCAAGGACAGGATGCTGGGATTTGTTCATGATGTGATGCTAGGATTAAGGGTGTGAGTGCTACCTGTATAAGATATAAGGAATGGAAAGAGCTGTAGTCTTTTGTGGTTTGTTGATTGCCTTGCTGCCTTCTGCCTGCCATGAATGGTGATGCCCAACTGCCATACCACCTTGCCTTGCAGCCTGCAAACTATGAACTGAAATATCTACATACTGTGAGCCAAG